ACATGCGGCCATCCTTGGCATTAGGGAGGCTGCTGGCATCGGGCTCAGCGATGGTGTCACTCAGGTTGTCCTTCTGCTTATTGTAAGTCTTGATGAGCGCGGCGCACTCGCTGATGTAGCCCCAGTCGGCCTTCTTAGTGTATCGCTGCTCACGGCTGCGTCCATGAAGAGTCAGGGCCGCACATCCAGGAGCCCCAAGTCGTTCTCGGTGCTCTCGTGCACCAAAAGCCAGTTTTCCAATAAGCTGAGTGGCTGTAGGACGGGAGTTTCGGATACCAGTGCGGATCTTGGCTGTGATAGGGACCTCCCCTGACACAGCGTTCATCCCCCGAATCATACGTTCCAATTTGCCTGAGTTTTCGAGAAGCGCCGATCCACCGCCAGACTTGAAGACCATATCAATCGGACACCCGCAGTTCAAATCGATGAGGCGAAGGTGAGGGCAATAACGATTCAGTACGTCAGCAGCCTTGGTAACAACCCAGTGGTTGTTTCCGGAGATCTGGGCACCGAACTTGATATCTTTAGAGCGGTCGTAGTCATCAAAGATGGGGACAGAGCCTGGGTTAAACTTGGGAGGTGAGAGCTCTGACTCATGAACCTTTAGAAGTGTCCAGTCAGCCTTCGTTCCCTGTATGAGGGGCATACTCAATGCCATCTCCGAGTATGTGAGCTGGGCTCCAAGCTCGACGCAGAGTCGACGGAAGGGCAAGTTCCCTTGGGTGGTGAGAGGTGCCAGGGTTGGGGTCTCTTGACCGAAATAGAGACGGCGCTTCTCAGAAGGCTTAAAGGGGGGGTCGACGAAGCGGGCACGTAGATCGTCGATGCCCTCGGTAGACTGATTCTTGCGACGATTCATAAACTCTTCGCTCAGCTTGGCTTCCTTACTAAGCCAAGTGATGTACTGGTCAGATCGTGTAAAGTCGGTCCGCTTGCGGTTGAGGTCAATCTTTTTATCCATACTGACGACGTTGAAAATAGAAGGTCGCTGCTCCTCGGATCCTTCATCTTTAGGCTCATCGTTCTCGCCGCCTTTTGCTGAAGTGCTCATGAGCACCAGCTCTTTTCGGCCGTCCTCGTGCTCGATTTCCTTCATGTGGCTCTTAACAAAACGGCACTTCCAGCCCGAAGGGCAGTGGCCATGAGCCTCGAACACGGGGCATTTGCCTTCGAAAGTCTCAACATCACCTCGGCGGCCTTCCTCAAGATACTTTCGAATATCATGGCAGAGTCTGCATCGGTCACCAAACTTGCATTCTCTGGGAGAAAACTCGGGATAGAAGGCTCGACTGTTGCAAAGACGAAAGGCATCGTCAAATTTGCCAAAATCGCGCTCTGTGTTCTGTCCCTTCTTCTTCTTCTCTTTCTTTCCCTTGCCTGGCTTTCGATCGCCATTCTCAGCATTTCCTTCGGTAGTGCCACGTGCCTCAGCATCGTCATCGTCGTTCACAGCATCGTCAGACGCATCTTTCTGAGTTGACATGTCTACAAGATACCTTTGATTTGTCAGTGTGTCTCTAGAACAGTTCTACTGTGGGCTTCTCACTCTTTCTTGATAGGGGCAACTCCCTTGTTGCGCCCATCAACGTACTCGATCTTGGGGTCCGGCTGTGGTCTCGAGACCTCATTCTCCTTGTCGCCATTTGTGGATTGCTCATTCTCCTTAGGAGCGGGTGCATCATGCAAATCCTCTCCTGGGACAGATTGAGACGGGTCCAAATCGTTAACCTTAAGTCTCTTCGAAGCCCGCTCTTCATCCTTTGTCGAGGTTATAGTATTGCTGGCATCAACTGCAAGTTCTGCATGCGCATTGCCTGGGGAAACGCCTTCCATATGAGCGTCGTGTTGCTCACTCATGGTCAAAGCGGCTGAGAATGGTCAGCCTCTGGGACAATGCATGTGCTGAAAGAAAATTATAAGCTCATAAATTCGTCATGAAGAATAAGTAAAGGAATTATGAGCGAAGTGAGTCTGTGTAAGAGAGAGGAAACGAGAGAAAGGTTGAAATGGAAGGTGAGAAAGAAGTGCAAATGTTCTTCTCGCTGCTACAGTGCGTGAGCAAAAAATGGCTTACCTCTTACACTGCTATACACAAATTAATGAGTGATTGTTTCTGACAGTGCTCGTTCAGTGCCAGCTGATGAAAATATCAGTCGTATCAAGATCTACTCTCAAGTGCATACGTCCCTAGGTAAAAAAAACCTCGATTGTTGGTGTAACTAAAAATGCACTAAATTCCCCTAGACCTACTCCGTATTTCTAGGTCTTATGTGCTATGAGGTCAGTGAGAAGCCGAATGTATCAGGTACGTTAGACGCCTGAGAGCCTCATCTCCGCACTTGGTGACATGGGCTAGGCCTCGCTAAAAGTGACCTCGGGGAGCAAGAAAACACCAGACCTTAATAGAGGGTGTCAAAATAAACTCAGCTAAGGATATCCTAAACTTATAATAAGTTACCTAAATATTTCTATCACTTAGAATCAAGATCCTGAGTTTTCTTTCCTCCCCTAGAAGTGCTACAGAATCAACGGCGACAAAGCTACTGTATCCACCTAAGGGGGGTACTCTTTCGACTCAAGACGGCAGGACCTAAGGTACCTAAGGTAGCTGGAGGTATGCTCAACTCAACCCCAGCTCCAACGTTGCACGATCCCTACCCTTCGACATCATTTACATACTATCACCATCACCGGCTCGCCTGCCCCTCCCTTCACTTTGCGCCCTTGGCAAATCGCCAATTGGCTTTGGCTTCAGCTGCCTGCTTTTAATTGCATATTGTTCGTTCCTTTTTGCCCGCTTCACTGCTCTCAGTCATTCCACCTTTTTCCCACCTCGACCGATTCAAGTCACAAGCTCAACGCCTTGTCTAGGAAGGCAATGAAGAAGAACCTACGCAGTCATGGCGGATACGAGGAGATCCCCCGATAAGTCGCACCTTAAGGCGAAGAGCGTTCAACAACAGCAACAACGATCACCTGCTCCGGCTCCCGCAGCCACACGGCCGACCTTTGTCGACGACGATTCCGACGATGATGACGAGTCTAGCGATCAAATGCCCCTACCCAGAAGCCATACACCAGGTCATCTTGCCAGCAAAAGCATACAAGCAAATCGTCGAAAGCCTTCCGATCTTTCTATCCGGCAGCGCTCTCAATCCGCATCACAGACCGCCCCGCAAGGAGCTACTACCTCGAGAGCAGTCCATAAACCGCCGCATTCGATCTCAACCAGCGCTGGCGATGCCTCAAGTGAGGGAGATCGACATAATCGGCGACCAACCGCTTCACGGTCGACATCCGCCATAACGAGCCGAACGACTGCACAAGCGACAGCCCGGTATGCATCGCATAGATCTCGGATATCACAAGACGAGTACACTGCGTTTCCGTCGCTTCCAGACCCCCGGACGGCTCCAAAGGTCGACGTGGCTCCAGCATCTGGCATGTACTGGTCCAAGGCACCTGTGTCGGGCGCTCCTCACACCTCGTTACGAGCACACACAACGACAATCATTGGCTCGAACGTTTATGTATTCGGCGGCTGTGACTCGAGGACATGCTTCAACGATCTCTACGTGCTCGATGCCGACTCTTTCCATTGGTCTATACCTTATGTCGTTGGTGATATACCTGTTCCTCTGAGAGCCATGACATGCACTGCCGTGGGCAAGAAACTCATCGTGTTTGGCGGAGGTGACGGTCCGGAGTATTATAACGATGTCTATGTCCTGGATACAACAAACTTCCGGTGGACAAAGCCCCGTATTATAGGAGATAAGATGCCATCGAAGCGGAGAGCGCATACTGCTTGTCTATACAAGAACGGTATATACGTATTCGGCGGCGGCGATGGGGTCCGAGCTCTGAACGATATCTGGCGGTTAGATGTTGCTGATGTCAACAAAATGTCATGGCGATTAGTGTCAAGTTCAGATAAGTCAAGTCCTGGGTCAAAAGACTATCGTCCCAAGGCAAGGGGCTACCACACTGCCAACATGGTGGGCAGCAAACTCATCATTTTTGGAGGCTCTGATGGCGGCGAATGTTTCGACGATGTATGGGTTTACGACGTTGACGCCCAGTTATGGAGAGCAGTCCCTATCCCCGTTGCTTTCCGTCGTTTATCACATACGGCCACAATAGTCGGCTCGTATTTATTTGTCATTGGAGGCCACGACGGAAGCGAATACTCGAATGATGTCCTGCTTTTGAACCTGGTTACAATGACATGGGATAGACGCCGGGTTTACGGCAAAGCACCTTCAGGTCGTGGCTATCACGGGACAGTGCTGTATGATAGTCGCCTTATTGTCATTGGAGGTTTCGATGGAAGCGAGGTGTATGGCGATGTTATGCTGTTAGAGCTAGCTGTGCATGCATATTATTCGCAAATCAGCCATTTTACCATCGAGGTTTAGACATATGAGCTAATGCAGCTCTTTTTTTTGGATATATTAGTGTGTTTGATCATCAATTTGTTGTTCTGGGATGGTAAATGAACCCTTCAACAGAGGGCTAGCAGGGAGTCGGTGGTGCAGATCTTTGTTAACTTATTAGTCTAGAAAAATGAGATGCTGGGTCATCTTAATATGTCCTCTGTATATACTCGAGATGATGATGCTTGCTTGATTCTTGCTGTCATGGCTACATATGATACATTGGATGCAATTCAAACCCCGACCAAACATGTTCCAGACCAATTTTAAGAGGTTGTAACTCCAAGGAACCATCCCACCCACTCTATGCGCATAGAAAAGACAAACCACAAGATAGCTTTGTCCAAATGACTGTCCCAGTTGATAATAGCCACTTCCTTTCCATCTCGACATCATTGGCTCATGAAACATCGGTTTGTTGGTGACAGATATACAATTTCTTTCCTCCAGCGTTTGGCGACTTGAGCTCGGCGTAGTATTAATGATGAATTTGAAGGTTATTTTGTATCGAGTAATCGTCTGTATGAGATCTTTTTGTCGTCATAAAAAGATAACATGGTGATTTTAAGCCTTGCTCTCAGCTTGCTTCTTGGCGGCCAATCGGCGCTCCTCAGCAGCGACCATATCTATTAACACTGTTAGTCACATAATGTTTCCTGCGCGATCTCAAATGCGACTTACCCTTCCAGAGGTCTTGGCCCTCATACTCCTCCTTATGAATCTTCTTCTCAATAAGTCGCTTGTGCTCGGGGTCCTCGGGATCGACGACCATGACGGTCTGCCAGCGACCCTCACCCTTCTTGGCATCGTTCATCTCAAAGACAGCTGAGATGATGAGAACCGCGAGGGTCAGGCCCTGAGCATACACACGGGCCTGTACGACCTTGTTGGCTGTGTTCATGGGTGAACGGCTCACAAGCGCGAAAGCGACACCCATGGATGCGAGCCATGAGACAAACACGATAGAGTAACGGTTCTCCTTACCGTACTCCATGAAGCGCTCCCAGGTCGTCTGGTTCTCGCGAACGATTTGCTGGGCGCGCTGGGTCTGGTCTTCGTAAAAGTTCATGGGATTCTGCTTCTTCTGGAAATCCATGGACCAGCGATCGGCGTTGATAATGGCGCCAAATGTGCCCGCGGATGTGACTAGGAACGTTCTGAAAGGGATTGTGAGGCCGCGGAAAGCAGGGTATCGCCTTGAAGCAAACATGACACCTCCAACACCAACAGCAAGACCAAGACCACCTCCAATGAGACCGCCCTTGACGACAGCTGAGTAGTGCGCCTCCTCCTCTTCCTTTGTAAGAATCTTCATGATTGCGATTTAGGGATGGACGGGGATTGAGAGGACAGACGATCGTGGGAGAAGCGGCAAATTTGTAGTAGGGACGGGATTTCTCTCTCAGGGCGCGATAGTTTACGGTGTTTTGTTTTCAGGGCGAAGGTGGTGGGTATGATAAGAAACCGAACGAGGTGGATTGCAGCGTGGTTTAAGCCCAGGGTGGGTCAACTGAGAGGTTGCTGAGTTTCAGTACTAAGTTAGGTACCTGAAAGATGTCGTAAACGTGAGGTGAGGTTGATGTACTAGTGTCGTGATAAAGTCGTGAGGTTTGCGATTTTGGGGCAATGGTGCTTTCTGTAATTGATGAGCATCCCAGATCCCCTCTTACTTATCCTCATGTATATAAATGGCAGACAAATTTTCATGGCCGAGTGTACCGTTTTTCTTGCATGACGGTAGATGATGTCAGTTTCTTCCGAACTCGTCCGGCGCAAACAGTCACCGAACTATGCCCGAGTCGCCGAATGGGCTTCAATTCAAATGAAACTGCCTGTAAGTAGAGAACTCCGAGGATATGCTACAATGAGAGGTGATTGTGGGACAATCTTTTTCAATGTTCGAGCGAACTGCGCATCTGATTGCTAATGTTACAGAGCTGAGTATCGGCTGCCCCGGAAGCAAACCCCCAATCTCTTGTTGTAATGCAAAACATGCCGTCATCGAAGTGTCTTTCCAACAGAGCCATGACAGATGGTAAACCGGACGGACGGCCGACCACTCGCTCTCCAGCTTCAGCGGTTTATGTCCCTATATCGCCCGCGAGAATTCTAGAATGGGCGTGGCAGCACATAGTATCTTAAATATAAAGTAAGGCTTGATTATGCCGCAGAACGCCGTAACAAGATTCGAGAGCAGCGGCAGTGATGGCGGCGTTCTGCGGTGAAAGCGGCATGGTATGTTCAACTGGGTAAACGTGATGCCGCACTCACTGACAATCCGATCTCATGGCGCTAAAGTTCCACCTGCACGTAGGTACCCGCCGCAGTTGGCATCTCGGCATCACCGTTGGAGTCCCTCTACCGGTAAGCAACGACTTTGGTTTTCGCTAACTCTCGGGTCGTCGGGCTATGCCAGGCTCTATGGGCCACCGGCGTTCATAATTCGGAATGTTTATGTGAGGTCGCCGTCTAGATCCTCATCTGGATTTATCTCGCCTCATGTATCGCTTCATGGCAGGGGTCAGGTCGGAGCGCCCCGAGAAACGAAACGCCTCATGGCCTGACATGGGGAATGTTCCGGGAATGATGCACCCTTGGTCAGGTATGATTATTGGCTGGTAACGGCTAACTTATGCTGCTTCGACTTGCCTACCCGGGACCAGTTTGTGATTCCACAGTCTCGAGGTAGAGTGCAAAGCTGATCTGTCGACTCTCGAACGATAGTCAGTCGAGCAAACGAGGTTATCTCGGTGAATACAGTGCACCCCATCTGGTTTATCCAAAACACCCAAGCATCTGTCGACTTTTTCGAATGAGGTGGTCTTTACATGCAGCATACTCGAACCTCTCAATATCATATAAGTCAAGAATGGGACTATTCACATGTTGCCCGCATCAATTGTCTCATTTCTAGTATATACACCTCGATAATCTGATTCATTTTTCTTGAATACATGATAAATATGTGGACCAGAAGTTCCGAGAACCAGCCATAGTCGAGCTTACTATCTTGTGCCTACGCAATGCTCTACACGTTTATCGACAAATTCTCAACAATCAACCATCATCGGATAGCATTGAAACACTCATAATAGCTCCATAATCTTATACAAGTGAGTAAACTTTGGTAGTATATTTATGGAAAGAGACAGAAGAAAAGGACAAATCTGGCCTTACTATGAACATGATGGCAACTCAAGCGGCTTAGGACTAACACATACTCGCACACTCAACACAATAAGTGCTTACCACCCACATTTGCACATCTGTCATAGGTAGACCGGACTCCATGTCACTCTCGTGTATTGTTGAATCATATCGGTTCAACATAGAATAGGCCTCGTGATCGGACCCGAACAAGAGGATTATACTTTATACTATTGCGTCAAGACCAGACTAGGTGTAACTCGACCACTACATAGTGAGTTCAATAAGGGCTATGCACCTGTTCAGCGCTAACGTGGCTAGAGATAAATACTTTCTGCAACCAGTGTATCCATGATGGCTTCGAATTTGATGATGACTTTGCTCAAACCCAAGACCTCTGGGGCTGAAGAGAGAGACCAGAACGATCCTCATACCCTTCAAAAGAGGCCAATATCACATTGTGCCTTCCATATGATGAGATGATACTCCAGAATCTTTGATCAATGTACCAAAGAAGGATATGACTGTAGCTTCAGACTAGGCTCCTTCGGCATACACCCTCTCTTGACCTCGGCAGCCTTTCTTCGGGTAAGATCTACGATGCTGGAGTTTGTGATCCGATCTTATCTGAAAGACTGAAGGAACACTAACACCTCCATCCAAAGACTCCCGCCTACTACCTCACCTCGCTTGGATGCATGGCATCACAACTAGCCGCCCCCAGTAGATCACACCAAGCCACGCTACTCGAGCTGACCAGGATGGACAGTTGCATTCTGCAGCAATAATGGCAATTCGACATATTGACTCGTGCGATTAATATGATCCCTCGTTAGTCAGGCCTGGGACCGACATATCCTGATGCACATGATCGCCTGCCGGTATCGTATCGACTTGCTTGAAAAGCTCATAGGTATGTTGATCTACGAATCTCCTTAGCTTGTAGATTCCCTTTGGGCACTATAATGACATCACAGTTCATGGTGCAATTTCAGGAGCCCGATTATTTCGGGAGGCTGTCATTACGATGTCAAGCTGTTATCGACTTGCACCCAGATAATCATATACGGAGCAGTAACCGGCGATGACGTCGGTTATACCTGGAAGTATTCACTCGCTCTCTGGTCAGCTAAGTATCTTTGCTATCTGCAATGGGTACGAAGTTGTAGAAAACCTCGTCACCTGCATCAACACTATTTATGAATACAACATTGCAGAATAAATAATTGCAAGATAGGGAATGCCGTATTCCGAACGACGAAGAAACAGTATATGCAAAACATAAGATGCCAAACAGCTCAATTGAGTCGTTGCTGTCCAATCCTGATTTTCTGCGGCATCTAGAAGTGAACTGGAGCTCGAATGCTGATCTGTGGAGATTGACTTCCATCGCTCAACTGCAAGAACGAACGCCTTAGCCGAAAGCCAAGTCTGCGGGTCGATGCTCAACAAGGAATCCCTTCCTCCATGACACTTGGTACCATCGAACCGCATTGCTCTTTCGCTGCATCCATGGGTTCCATCCGCAAGCGGTAGTAGTATTTGGACCACATGGTCAGTGTTTTCAATGTATTTTGCTAAAGTGCAACAGAAGAGTAGACATATTAAAGCTAAACCTTTCTAGTCAGCTAAAGCATTTAGGCATTTTTGCATGGAAGCCAAGTCCAAGACCTTTTTAGTCAGGACCCATTAGCCATATTTTATTAGCTCAATCCACATCAAAGGCAACGGCGCTGTGGTACCTCACATGTCGATGAATCAGAACGAAGATGATTACGATGCCACTGACAATTGAGACATCTGTGTGGAATGGAATTTAGGCGATTGACCCAATGGCAGTTCGAAAAGAGCTAGCCCCCTTCAACCTTCGGCTGGACGGGTCACTGGTCTCGGCGGAAGAGATGATAGATCGGTGTTGCGGGAGGGCTCACAGTTTCATTAACTTGTGAAATAAGTCGCGGCTGAAATCCCACGACGAGATCTCGGGGATATTCACAAGTGAACCTAATAGTCGCTTAGACATCCCGTTCTGCGCCTATGTGGGCTTGGGTTAAGCGGCTCTGCGAATGAATTGTCGTCCCTTTGGCGGTCGTAGGACGGAGTATTGATTGTATGTAGAGGAGCTGAGGAGCCGAAGATACCCTTTTTTAGTTCGTTAGAAAGAAAGCTAAGTATGGCGGTCTTGTAATTGTCTGACTCGAAGCTCGGTATACGCCGCTGATCTAGAACAAGTGAATCCGCTCAGGGTCGATTTCAGCAGTGATTGAATCAAGGTTGAGGCCTCTCAGACGTCGCTCCTTGAAAAGTGATTAAGATACAATATCTCTCGAACAACTGTGGAATCGGCGTCGTCAAAATACATCTTTGTGCCATTGTAAGACGGGCAAGAACCACCAGCCACCTACTTGGAAAGGCCCTGATTGTCTTTTGTTGTGCAGAATGCCAACTTGAGGGCGATCGGCCGGGACTAGGTTGACAGCATTGAAGGTTGACAGCGGCACCAGTTTCCCAGACCAGGCCATTGCTGGATTGATACCCGACACCACTTGGATTCTCACTGGATTAGATCAAGTGCGCATATAAGTCCTAACGTACTTCGTGTTATACTCCGTAAATGTTGTCTAAGTAATTCGTATGTAGAAATGGAGCAAGGCTGGAGCTCACAGATGAACGGAAAGACCCATGTTGAAGGTAACTTCTGTAAAGCGTCTAGAGCGTTAAGATGGAAATGGGTCGTCTGCATGTGATGATGGTCTTCCTGGGTTTATTCCTGAAATTGAGACAGGCAGCAGTGATGCCCGTGATTCGAATGTTCCATGAGGAAAGGCGCAACCGTCGTCGCCTCTATCTGCCGACCCTGGATCCTAGTTGTGAATACCGTTGTCACATTCGCATTGGAGCAGTTTAGGATCTATCACATCCCCACGTCAAGCCATTGCCGAGACGCAGATTCATGACAATGTAACGAGATCTCGTTTTCGACTCGCGCTTACCATCCAATTGGGACTACCTGGCATCGGGTCTGTTTGTCCCTGAAAGCATTGACATTGGCATTGGCATTGACCTGTCAGAAGTCACCTAGCACCACAGCGCATTGATGCCACGTTGTTGGCGTTTTGGTCCAAGCTTAGACAAGAGTCATAAGCTTTGACAGGACGCATAAAGACG